TTTTTTTTTTAATGTGGGTCAAATATGGCTCATGAAAGATGTGTCTTAGTTGAGGTTGAATTAAGGCTGATATCAGGAACCTGTTCTGGCCCAGCGTCGGGCCGGAGTAGGGTCGGATATGGTTATACAATGCGGCTCAGATCCGGGCCGAATGCGGCCCGGATCATGGATGCCAGACCCGGGCCACTGCAGGACCGTCATTCATTGCGGTATGTGGGCCGAGTGTCGTGCCGTGTCCGCGCCGGAGCCGGGCCAGACCAATTTTGCTGACTGGGCAGCCTGCCATGCATGTTTTTGGAATGTGGGAGGAAACCGGAGTTAGCAAAATACTCCTGTAGCTCTTTGTACACATTTCCTAAGATTTAATAATCACCGTTGATGATGGTTATGATGCAGTTTACTAAAGATGTTGAGTTTTTGTTATTTTGGTCAATAATAATTGATTGTGAACTGCTCCAAGTGTTGCATACAGCACAGTTGTGTGTTGTTACAATGCATTTTGGGATTAATATTTTAAAAAACACATTCAGTTGATTACTGTAGTTTGCCGCTTCCTTAGTGTAATGATGTTCCCATACCAAAGGGGACAGTAATGCACCAGAACGGCTCGACTCCGTCCTTTCTGCAGGAAATAGAAAGTAGGCCACTCAGGAAATGCAGGAAGCGAGACGGCGAAATGAAGTCCGTAATATTGCCATGGACATTGCGTCAACTGTACATTTAGGTCGTGTACCGATTAAACATAACCGACTCTTCGTGTCGCTAAAGCTTCACCTGCTAGCTCAGCCCGCTCGCTGCTCACAAAGAGACGCGGAAGTTAGCCTCATATACCCAAGCGGAGATCCAGTGTGTGCCTCCCGTGTTGGGATTGATTGAGTGATTACTGTCAGTCTGTTTGGAAAGAATGATAGCGGAGTACGAGGAGGAAATTTGTCGATCAAGAGAAGAAAACGAGCGGCAACGTCAATTACTGGACGCTCTTTTAAAGCATCAAGATGAAAAGCACAGAGCAGGTTTGTTCATCTCGTTCTCTCACAGTTGTTTTAATTTTCAACCCTTCTGGGTCCAGGGATTTCTTACAAGAGAGATTTCGCCCTCCCTCACTCAGAAAAGAAAAGACCTCCTAATAACCATAGCGCCAATTATCGTATGACAGATTTTTAATCCACGTGCAGCACTTTGTATGCAGCAAGGGTTGTTGTGAAGTGCTTTATAAATTAAGTTGAGTCGAATTGAGTAGTCATGCATGGCTACAATGTGTCCACAAATGCCATGGAGATGAAAAGCTGACGAAATGTTATGAAAACAAAACAACTTTTTGGGAGAAAAAAGTGGTGACGTTTGTGCAAATACATGTTTAATCAGAATACGATGTCAGTTTTTTGGCTCTCAAAATAATTGCAATAATATTGTCGTATCTTTTAAAAAAGTGCATACTAACTCATTACGCTTCACGATCATAATATTTTAACTCGTCATAGCAGAATTTGATTTTTCCAAACCACATGCATTGTCTTCAGAGTCCCCTTACATTAAAGAAGAAGAACACGAACACAGCATCGGTCAGGAAGAAGAGCAGTTTCGAGAGCTGGAGGACGGTGATGTCACCAAGCAGCCCTTTAACTGTGTCATTGTGAAGAGTGAAGATGACGACGGGGATGGAGACCACTGTGGAGGATCACAAGCAGACAACTTCTTAACTCCACTATCAAACAGTGACAACACGTCACCCTCTCCTGACACGGATGATGACGAACACTGTAAAGGTGATGCGACAAGTCACAGTGACTGCAAGGGTTTGGCATGCCTTCAATGTGACAAAACGTTTAGCAACAATGCAAATCTGAGAAGACACATGATGATTCACACGGGAGAAAAACCTTTCATGTGTTCAGTTTGTGGGAAAAGATTCTCTCAGAAGACTTCGATGATAACACACACAAGAACACACACTGGAGAAAAACCTTTTTCCTGCTCGGTGTGCCACAAATGCTTTAGTGACTATTCCACTTTGACGAAACACATGAGAACACACACGGGTGAGAAACCCTTTTCATGCTCAATCTGCGGTAAAACATTTTCTCAGAAGGCAACTATGAGAACGCACACGAGAACACACACTGGCGAAAAAGCATTTTTCTGCACCTTTTGCAATACAAGTTTTAATGTTCGTTCAACATTGGTCCAACACATGAGAACCCACACTGGTGAGAAACCCTTTACCTGCTCAGTGTGCACCAAAAGTTTTGGTCATCCTGCAGCGCTGGCGAGGCACATGAGAACACATACTGGGGAGAAAGTGTTCAATTGCAGTGTGTGTGATCAAAGGTTCTCGTACAAGTACCAAGTGAACAAACACAAGTGTGTTGGCAGAGAACAGCAGTAGTGAAGGAAGCTGCAGAACTTTAAATAAAGTGAATATTGACTTTCACTTGTAGCAAACACTGTTTATGACCAATTCAAATGAGATGCACTGCTGGATTTGCGGTGTACAGTATTTGTAACTTATTATGGCACCTTTCAGGGAACCTATGGATGCTACTCATTCGTGCTTAAAATATCAGTCCATGATTATTGTCAAATGAACAGTTTGAATAAAACATTATCAAACATATCCAGTCTTCATATTTTAATTAAGGGCAATATTTGTGTCTTCTTAGACAACAGAAACACATGCTTCAGTATTTTAAACAAACTAGAATTGCCCTCATTCATACACTCTTAAAGAACACACTGTGGTGCAAAAGCAGCAAACATACTCACAAAAGTACAGACTGAAATAATGAAAAGGTATCTTTACTGTTATTTATATGCGATACCCATTTTGGTAACTTGGCAACAGAATGCTTGATTAACTAATGTGCTCTGCAATCAGCTGGCGACCCACCTCTTGCTCAAAGACAGCTGGGATAGGCTCCAGCACACCTGCGAAAACCTCTGCTCAAAGCAGTTCAGATAATGGATGAATGGATGATCCAGTATTGAGTTACAGCCAGCAAGAACTTCTCTCCTGCCCGAAATTCTACACCTATTCACTACACTTCATATGTTTCATTTGGCTCCCCTCAGTACGGGTATGCAAATGTTATGGTTTTTTGGGGGGCCGAATAAGATTTCAGCCTCTGTGTGCTGTCACATCACTGTAATCTGCCTTCACCTCTGTTGCACTGGTGCTGGCTCATGTAATCAAAACTATGTTAACAAATTGGACTGTTTCTTTAACCAGTCAGATTTTATATTTGCCTCAGAAGTCCCACAACAATGTTAGCATTTTCCATCCTCTGACTGGTTGGTCAGAGCATGCCAAGTTCAACTAGCAAAATACATCCATCCGTCCATCCATTTTCTGATCCGCTTTATCCTCACAAGGGTGGCGGGGCGTGCTGGAGCCTATACCAGCTGTCTTCGGGCAGTAGGCAGGGGACACCCTGAACCAGTTACCAGCCAATCGCAGGGCACACAGAGACGAACAACCAGCCGCACTCACACCTAAGGAACATTTTGAGTGTTCAATCACCCAGTCAGCAAAGGCATCTGGCCCGGCTTCGGCATGAAGCCGGCACAGCTGGCCTGGTGTCGGCAATGGCATAACGCATGTGGGCCGAACACGGCCCAGGCGTGGCAAAGGAGGCACTGGCTTGACTCTGGCAAACCAGATGAGGGCCGGTTGTGGCGTGAAGTATTTGGGCCAGAAATGTATTTCCAACTCCGGCCCGAATATGGCCAGCCAGTATTGAGCCACTCCTAAATGCAGGTT